CTTGTGTGGCTTTGAAGAGGCAACAGACCTTCTTCGTTAGGTATCATCGAAACTTCATTTTTATTCCTCATTTCCGCACTTTACCGCTTTTCTAGAGATATTGAGAAGTAGGGATTTACTTCTTTCTGATGCCATGAGAATTAGAGTAGAGATGTATGACTGGGATCTCTGCTACTGATCATGTCAGGAATCCCTCTGGTTTATTTAAAGACCGTTTAGGGCAATTCCGCATTATGTGCATTTCTGTTTGCTACTTGTGTGCGGTTTGTTTCAAACCCTACCTTTGAGTAGGTATTCTGCAGGTGTGTTTACATTTGTTCCCGCACTATCCCCCATCCCTTATTGAATTCCACAAAATGAGGAAAGCAGGGAGGGTTCGCAATCAACCCCCACAATTTCGCCCGTGTCATCCTTAGCTCGTGACGCACCACAATGCTCCCGAGTCGTGCAGATCTTGTGTATCGAGTTTGTCAAGTGGGGAAGGGTTTTGCAATCAAACCCCCACGCTTAGTCAGGAGTTCACATTGGCCAATGCTGACACTCTGTGATCGTTCATATTGTCTTATGTCGCTTACCTCGATCTTCTATATCTTGGTTAGGTGTTCAGTCGCTTTCGATGTCACATTTTTTATTCCGTCCCCCGCTTGTTTGCTTCGGGTGATACACTCCCCTTAGCTAAATCATTTCTCTTGTTTCGCCCATCCCTTTGATTCAGTATGTGCTACTCATGTTTGTGTGCTTTTTCCAAAGCACTTGTTTACTTATTTGTTTACTATACCATGCTTCCCTTAGGATCGCTCGACTAGAGTAGTCTCCGAGCTAGACGTTAGGATAGGTATCCATGCATGCTAACATAGGGTAGAGATTTCCCTTTCATCCTCAACCTTGGGGTCAATCATTGTATGATAACATTAGGGATAAATCTAGGTTATTCTCTTTTAGATGTTTTCTTTTCTTTTGCATCTTTGCATTTAAGACTACAACTTTTTTCTTGGCAAATGTATAAAACATTTAACAATTTTCAAATCCTTTTTCAAGGTAAAAGATATCAACCAATACAAGCTTTTTACGCCTTCAGGCCCCTTTCTTTCAAACTTTTTTCAAAAGGACATGTTAATTCACTTCTGTGCTGACGTGTGAGTCTCAAAAGGTCGAGCTGCGACATAAGGCGAAATTAATATTTGTTCATTAAAAAATACAAACCAACAAAAACATTTAAAGCCGAACTACGGCTGCTTTGATTCCTTAAAAATGATATGTAGGCATTGGGGTAGGGCCCGAACGAGCACAACTTTCATTTTCCCTACATTCTTTTCTCCTTTCTTTTGCATGCATTCCCTGTACAGTTTAGATATAGATTCTTACACACCCTTTGATTAGAACAACATGAGTGGATACCATAGAGTACTACGGGCGTGTGGTATGCTAATACATTCCCCTCGCATAACAGACTCCCTTACCCGATCTCTCGGTCATTTGATCGTGATTTATCCCTTCTCAGGTTTACTCGATGTTTTCCTTTTCCTTCATGTGGGATAAAAAACATTTGATGGTGACTTCATTGATTTTATTATCAGTTGATTGTTCAGCCGATTGTTTCAATAGGCATCCATAAATGACATGTAATATTTGAAATCTGAAGTAGACGAGTAAGGGGAAGAACCCCGCAAATCAGTAAACACAATTTCCAAGGGAGTGGTATAGGTAGTGTGTGAAGCAAAAAAGAGTAATTTGTGGGCTTTTCCCATACAACAAGTTGAGCAAAAATTATTAAAGTCTTTAGTATTGAAAGAAATATTACATTCTTGCAGAACAAGTTTCAGGGCATGAGAGTTAGGGTGACATAACCTTAGATGCCACATATTAGGTGTACTAGTATTAAAACAAACAACATTAATACTATAGTATGACTCCTTAAGCTTTACAAAACTAGAAGACATAAAGGAGTTCATTAAGGGACCAACAAGAGTGATGAAAGTAAATTCATATAAGCCATGCCTTCCAACATGTCCTTCAAGTAAGATAGCCTTAGATTCCCATGATTGCACAGGTGAGGAAAAAACACTAGAGCTAGACGACCTAATATACACACCTTGTTCATTCCTCGTGAATCTGATTAGGACTTTCAAAAGGAACTAGTTGTTGAACATTCTTGGCATCATTTGTAACGTCGGAGAAAGCTCTAGAATTAGGAAACCATAATACACACGAAGCAGAAGTAGTAGGTAAAGAATTAGCCAGAAAAACACTTGGTGCAGGGGAGAAATTTGCATTGTTTCTGGACTGTGTAGAGGGTATGGCCCAAACATTAGGGGGAAATTGCTATAACCATAAGGTGAAGCGAGCCACTATTGAGAATTGTAGGGAGTGTAAGTTGGTGCATAAGGTTGATAATTCTGATTAAATATGTACCAATAAGTGATAATAGAGTGCCCGTGTTTGTAGAAAACTTGGGACTGAATATGAGCATTAGAACTACTGCCTCTTCCTCTACCAAACCTATCACCACAAGAATCTCTAGTGCCACAAAAATGAGTGATGTCATGTTCAACATTAGGTGCAGCTTTCTGAGGGGGAGTAGAGTCAGCACCGGTAGATTTAACTTCATCAACAGGACTTGAACCAACTCAAGCCAAATTTAGAAACACCAGATCATGAATTGTGGATGCATTTCTCTTATAAATGTTTTGCATGGTGTCAAAACTAGGAATTGATTTTATCTTTTATGTACATTTAACGATGTCTCAGAGTATTTGTGTGCACCCTTGCATTAGAAGTCATTAGGAACCTTAAGAAGCATATAGGACAAGTTTGGTTTGGTTATCCATTGGTCTCATAAAGGAAAAATTAGTTTTTGCACACAATGCATATGCATGTGTCGACACATACGAGTTTTGTATCGACACATACGTTGTTGTTTTAAAGCAAATATGAGCTTTGCGTCGACTCATGTGTTGTTGTTTTAAAGCCTAAAAGTCTCTGGAAGTACGTGTCGACCCATGACCTGCTACAAGTCGACACATGTGTCCAATTCTGTCATGCATGTGTCGACACATAACTTACATGTCTCGACATATCATGTACCAAACTTCAAAAATCAATTTTTCTTTTATGTTTCTAGGTATTTCTTTTGCCTCCAAGTCTCAAACATATATATATATATATATATATATATATATATATATCATGCATGCATCATTTTCATTTTGATGAAACTATAAACACTTACTTGATTTCTCTTCATCTTTAATCTTGACCCTATGCATACACATAATTAACGTACACATAATTCATTGTTTGGGTTCCATATAGACTCGGTTGATATTATTCAATTTAGGTTGGTTGTAACCTAAGATTGGATTGAGAATCAAGGGGATTTCATTCGAAAAAACCGCGAGAATTTTCACCTCAAGATTGTGTTGAGATTTGACTGTAACTTAAGATTGGGTTGAGAATCAAAGGGGTTTTTAACAAGGTTTTTTTTTTACCTCAAGGTTTTTTTAACACTAACTTGATTTCTTTTCATTATTCTCTCTCTCTCTCTCTCTCTCTCTCTCTCTCTCTCTCTCTCTCTCTATCTATCTATCTATCTATCTATCTATCTATCTATCTCGCTTTATCTTTTTTATATTTTGTTAGCAATTTCTTACACTCTTGATTGTGTAAATTGATTAGGTTAGAAATATTCCTCGAAAGTTTGAATCATTTTATTGTTGTTCTTACAATTCCTTTCATTGTAATAGGTTTTAACATAAAAAAAATCAAAAGGAAATTCTGAAAATCAAAGTGCACACTAAGTGTTTGATAAGTTTTCTAAATAAGTTTTACCTATAATTTAATTGGAAATAGATTATTTGATTGATTGTATTCAAATTGTTGATTAAGAACTTTATGTGTTTCTCACTTATCATCTTTATTTAATTTGAATTGATTAAATGCATATCTGAGCTCCAATAATCGAGTGCATTTAGACGACTTTGATCTAGGATACAACTTCTGCTAACCATTGTTTTTAATGTGATTTAAAAATTATTTTAAAACTAAATTTTAAATTCGGTATCTATTCACCCCCTCTAGATAAGTTGTCCTCGACTAACATGAATAAGTGACTTTTTGAACTTGTTGAGATGAATTTCATGAGCTAGAAGTAGAATCTTTACTTCATCTAAGTCCATGAGACCGAATTTGCTCTCAATAACCGACGAAACAAGTTCAAATTCAGAAGGAAGACCTTCAAGAATAACATCAATGTGGTGCGATGCAGGCACATGATCACCAATAGGGGCAAGAGCATCCACAATTGTGCGAATATTGAGTAGGAACTCTTGAATAATAGAAGAGTCAAGAGTTAGAGCATGAAATTTCACACATAATTGCCTAGCACGCGCACGCGTCTGTTTTTGGAAGTACTTGAACAATCGATCCCAAAGTTGATGAAAATGTGTGCATCCAAGAACACGAGAGAGAATCTCGTTCGAAATAGTCGATTGCAACCACAAGAGGAGCATTTGATTTTTCTGAAGCCATCGTGGATACATTGGATTCACATTACCGACGACGCGAGCTTCGTTATCCATAAACTAAAATTTTACATTATTTGTTAATCATAATTATATATTTGTTAAGTACTAGTATAACTTATCGCACCATCATCAAAACGAGAATCTAATTGAACACTTCAAAAGAATATCATATTGGTAATTTGGTTAATGGTAGTAGTAGTATATTAGTTGAGAAAAAAACTTGACACACCCACGTGATGCAAGAAAGCATCACTACCACCCTCCCCAAATGAAATGAATGCAAAGAACCGTAACCCCGCGGCTATGGAAAAGCCACGATTTCAAAATCAAACCTCCTAACTTGTTGCCCCAAAATTCCTCCTCACTCTCCAAAACCCATTGATTCTTCTCTTCTCTTCTCTCTCACCAATCCCTCTTCCAAATGCATTGAAATTGCTTATCCCAAAACCCCAACACTAAACCCTTTTTGTTCATGGAATGAGAAAAACCAAACCCCTTTTCACCCTTCTCAACAACAACCATTACCATAACCAAAACCACAATCTTTTTCACCTTCTCCCAAAACCCTTTTCTTCTCTCACCCAACAACCCCACCTCGTTTCACACATCTTCACCCTCCTCTCCCAACCCCAATGGCGAAAAAACCCTTCCTTTAACACCTTAATCCCTTCCCTAACCCCAACCCATCTCTCCACCCTCTTCAACCTCGACCTCCACCCTCTCACAGCGTTAAACTTCTTCAAATGGATCAACCACCAACACGGTTTCATCCACACTGTCCACTCCTACCAACCCCTCCTCTTCATTCTAGTCCGAAACGGGTTCCTTCGCGCTGCGGAGAATATTCGAAACTCCATGATTAAATCATGTGAATCCCCACAAGATGCAAGGTTTGTTTTGAACCTCTTGCGTTTAATGAACACAACCCATCATGAAAATATTGCCTTTAACCTCTCTGTTACTTCGTATAATAGACTTCTTATGCTTTTGTCGCAGTTTGGTTTGGTTGATGAGTTGAATTGTTTGTTTAAGGAAATGTTGGATGATGGGGTTTTGCCTAATTTGATTACTTTTAATACTATGCTGAATTTTCATTGTAAGCTGGGGAATATGGTTGTGGGAAAGGTTTATTTTTGTGGATTAATAAAGAGTGGTTTTTGTTGTGATACGTTTACTTATACTTCGTTGATATTGGGTTATTGTAAAAATCATGAATTGAAGAATGCTTATAAGGTGTTTGAGATTATGCCGGAGGAGGGTTGTCGAAGGAATGAGGTTTCGTTTACTAATCTTATTCATGGTTTTTGTGAAGCTGGGAAGGTTGATGAGGCTCTTGAGTTGTTCTTTCGGATGAAGGAGGATGGTTGTTTTCCAACTGTTCGGACTTATACGGTTCTTGTGGATGCATTGTGCGAGTTGGGGAAGGAGGCGGAAGCTCTGAAGTTTTTTGAGGAGATGGTGGAAAGAGGTTGTGTGCCTAATGTTTATACTTATACTGTGTTGATTGATTATTTCTGCAAGGCTGGTAAGATGGAAGACGGGATGAAGATATTGAAAACAATGTTGGAGAAAGGGTTGGTTTCTAGTGCTGTTCCGTTTAATGCTTTGATTGCTGGGTATTGTAAACAGGCAACGATGGAGGATGCCGTTGGTGTTTTGGATTTGATGAAGTTGAATAAAGTTTGCCCAAATGATCGGACTTATAATGAACTGATTTGTGGGTTTTGTGGAAGAAAAAGCATGGACAGGGCGATGGCGTTGGTTAATAGAATGTTTGAAAACAAATGGTCGCCCAACCTTATCACATATAACACCTTAATCCATGGGCTGTGTAATGCAGGCATGGTCGATAGTGCTTGGCGGCTGCATCATTTGATGATTGAAGATGGCTTTGTTCCTGATCAGAGGACTTTTTGTGCTTTTATAGACTGCCTCAGTAGAATGGGAAAAGTAGAACAAGCACGTCAGGTCTTTGAGTCCCTCAAGGAAAAACATGTTGAAGCAAATGAATTCATATATACAGCCTTGATTGATGGCTACTGCAAGGCTGAGAAATTTGATGATGCTCGGTTATTATTCAAAAAGATGCTTGCTGAGGGATGTTTGCCGAACTCTATTACGTTCAATGTCTTGTTAGACAGCTTGCGCAAAGAGGGGAAAGTGGAAGAGGCAATATTGTTTGTGGATGACATGGGAAAGTTTAATCTGAAACCTACTGTTTATACATATACAATTCTCATTGAGGAAATATTGAGGGTAGGTGACTTCTACCGCGCTAATAGATTTCTCGACCAAATGATTTCATCTGGATGTCAGCCTAATGTGGTCACATATACTGCTTTTATTAAAGCATATTGCAGCCAAGGAAGATTACAGGATGCTGAAGAGATGGTGGTCAAGATTAAAGAAGAAGGCATAGTACCCGACTGCATGGTCTATAATTTATTAATGAATGCTTATGGATGTATAGGACAACTAGACAATGCATTTGTTGTTCTCAAACGCATGTTTGATACAGGTTGTGAGCCTTCGCGTCAAACACATTCCATTCTAATGAAGCATCTAATTGTTGAAAAACATAATATTTCAGTTCATATTACCGATATATGGAAGATAACTGATTTTGAAATCATAACCATGCTTTTTGAGAAAATGGTGGAACATGGCTGTGTGCCTAATGTTAACACTTACAACAAGCTTATTGTAGGACTTTGCAAAGTGGAACACTTGTCGATAGCCTTTAGGTTGTTAAACCATATGAGAGAAAATGGAATATCTCCATCTGAAATTATTCATAATTCTCTTCTAAGTGGTTGCTGCAAGTTGGGAATGCACGAAGAAGCATTGAGATTGCTGGATTCTATGATGGAGTGTAATCATTTAGCACATCTAGAATCCTATAAGCTTCTCATTTGTCGGCTATTTGAACAGAGTAACAAAGAGAAGGCTGAAGCAATTTTTCATAGATTACTAAGCTGTGGGTATAATTATGACGAAGTGGTTTGGAAAGTCCTAATTGATGGTCTAGCTAAGAAAGGTTATGTTGATGAGTGCTCACAATTGCGGAACATTATGGAGAAAAATGGTTGTCGTTCACATTCCAAGACGCAAACTATGTTAACCCGGGAACTGAATGGAACTTAATACGATGATTGTATGATTGTTTATTTTCTGGAATGGAACATGGAGACGGAATTCGTCCCATTAATATTTCATTTTTGATGAGTTAGGCTAAGGTTGTTGTACAGAGGAGTACCTGAAACTCCATAATACATTCTTAACATACTTACAATATTTCAGCAACTTAGCTGCAAGCAGCTCTTTTCTACCATTGCAGTGACAATTAACTATCACAGACCAGTGTAACTGTGACAATCACCGAGATAGAGCAATCACTAGAAGATCAAGAGGCAAGTGACTTTCTGAATTCTTATTTATTATTTCATTCTTTTCATTTAATAAAGACTCAATCCAAATTGTAACTTTACTTTTGGTTATCTCAGACATATCGGTGCATTTTTCTTGTATGAATAGTTACGAATATGTTAACTTCCTTGTTACTTTACTTGAGTCACTCTACACATTATGGATTTCTGCTACTTAAACTCATTCGTAAGTTTTATGTTTGGACACAACCTTTTGGTTATTAAGTGATGCATCAGCACTGTAGTTTAGCAGAATTTTAACTAACTGTATCATTCCCCAACTATGTTATCAATCTCGGATAGCGGTGTGGCATGGCCGTTCTCAAAAGTAGAGTTGAACGGGTGTTATTTTAGTGACCGACCACTAATACAGTTATTACTAATAAACACATAATTGTTCAAAACTAAATAGATTACTCAAAATAATGAAGTATTCATAGATCGAGATAAGAGAAATAACTCTTAAGCCAAACACACTTGCAGATGCCAATAAAATTCAGGAAAATAACATTGCCATTGTTAATATCGTCTATGGCTGACTCGGCATTCCGAACCCAATCCCATTATCGTATTTATTCCAGCTGAGTCGCCCATCCGTGCTGGAATGGCACGGCCTGATGCGGTTTTCTTGGTTTTTGCTGTTCCCTGCTGAGATGACAGCCGGGTTTGATAACATTTATTGTCAAATAGCTATAGCACTGTAGCAGCTAGATTTGAATTACTTTTTCCTGCTATCTAAAATTGCAATTGACAAAACCGCATTTCAGTTATTTTGGTTCAGTATAGAAATTTGAACTACTATTTTCAGCTATCTGTAATTGCAATTGACAATACTGCATTTCAGTTATTTTGGTTCAGTATAGAAATGCGACTGAGTTATGAATGTTGTAGTCCTTTTGACATATTTTTTAGAATGCCGGGATTAGTCAGTCCAAAAAGGCGACTGAGTGACTTATTACCTTTTCTGAAAAACACACTGATTTTCCTTTTATTTTATTTTCATAGGTATTCTATTCTTTGCAACTATTGCGACCCACGGCAGAAGCTGTCGTAAGAGTTACGACCACCCATAGATTTTGATTCGGTGTCTTCTGTTACCCATACAAGTAGGGTTATTGCGACCCACAGCAGAAGCTGTCGTAAGAGTTACGACCACCCATAGATTTTGATTCAATGTCTTCTGTTACCCATACAAGTAGGGTTGCAGGCTCAAGATTGAATTTTAGTTGAAGATTCTTTGGTATTAGCATCCATTTCAAATGCAAGTAGTTGCTGTAATTAGTGGCAGCCTAATATCCTGCCACTATCAATCATGTCACTGTTGTTATATCAAAATCTTGATAATTTTCTGCAAAATATAATTGAGGAGTTGAATACCAAAACTATGTCTGCAATATTAACTGAAAAAATTAATAAAACGGATAGGGAAATTACTTGGGAGTTGGACAATTTTCAAGCTTATGATTCAGGCTCTTTTAGTGTATATTTTGGAGCTACAGACACTGAAAGATGCATTTCATGTTTGTGGCAGCTTGGTAAATTTAACATTAGTTTGTGCATTGTGTAGGGCTTTCATCAAAAGTTTGCAATGTTTTGTTAACATGAGACATTGTCTTTTCTAATTACAAAAACTATAAGTGAGACTCTGGATATTCACCAAACTCATAACATACTTCAAATTTCAAAGAATTTTTATAGAAAGTACTAATCAATTATCCAACAAATATTCATGATAAAAATTGTGTTGCTCATAATATAATGAGATTGAGATGTGAATAAAAGAATATGTTACATTTTGAGTCAAATTTTAGTATTAATATGATATACTCTTCCCTATATTTACTGATCACATTTACAATTTTTTCCTTCTAATTATATATAATTTTCAAAGTTCAATTTGATATTAATTTTGTTTTATTTTAAAAGTGAGTGATATAAAATGTTACAATTTAAAATATTTGACAATTAGTCAAAAAAATATTTTTTTCGATGTTATTTAACACTTTAAATATCAAAACTTTTGACTGAATAATTTTCTTTTACAAAATTAATTGTTTGATTTTTTTTTTAAGCCAATGAATTGAGAGTAGTAAAGGGTACTCTAACTCAATTACAACAAAAGCTTTATCAAGAACAACAAACACATTACAAGCAAAGACCCGGATAGCTACACAAACCAACCCAAAGATGATGATTACAATTCTTATAAAACACCACCAACCATTTCCATGCTCTAAGCTTCACTATATACACCATCTCCTTAATGTCTACAAAAGCCTCTGAGAACATAATTCTATTCATACTAAACCATATAATCTAACACACCCAATACTGATCGCGGTGTGGTTTGGACGGTTTTGAAGTAAAAAATCACCCGATCTATAAGAAAAAAACATGCGGTTCAATTGATTTTTAAAAATAAATCTGAATCAAACTAAATCAAAATAATACGGTTTGAATTAGTTCGGTTGATTTATTTTTTTATAAAAAAAAAATTATTAAGCCATACATACAAATATAAAGGAAAATATAATTTTGTGTTTAATTATTCATACATTACCATAAAAAAATTATAATTGTCAAAATAAATTTATAATTTTATACATAAAATTACGTATTATAATTTTATCTAAATCGAAAGAATGATATAGACAAGATTGCATTCTTAAATAAATATTATACAAAGAATACGATAAAATATATTTTTTTAAAATAATATTTATAAATGAATAATATTTTATTTTTTTATGATTTGTAAATTAAAATATATACGTAATTTCTTTAAAGAATTAAAGAAATATATATTAGTTAGTAAGATTTTATAACATAATGCTGTTTTGTTTGTATCGGTTTGTAAAATAGAAGTATGACTCAAACACATTCGAACTAAATACTATTTTTTACAATTTCGGTTTGGTTAGATTCAATTTTACGATTTTCTATTGGATCGGTTTAATTTTGAACACCCCTACCTAAGACCACACAAACCGGACCTAAGCTAGTAAGATTTGAGACCAAACATTGTTCCTGACCTCACAATTGAAAGAAAAAAAGTACTATATCACATTTTGCACTCAATTGATGATGTCTCTTATTTTCAATTCTACTCTTGATTGGCAATTTGTTGATTAGCAATCTCCAAGCAAAAATTTGGACTGACTTGGCAACTTAGTTTTCCACAGAATATTTAATACCTGCTGCACTCCCTCTTATTCAACCCGGGGAGATCTAGAAGGAGAATGCTTTTTTTCCTCATTTGAACTGTCAATTTATTTGAAATAATCTTGAGTACATTAGTAAAATCTTGAGTTTTATGAGTGGGATGATTAACATCTCATAAACCCCATGAAAAAAAAACCTCTTTTGACCAATCTATTGCTGATATGATGTTCATCGTAATATTAAATGATTTTAGGTATACCAAGTATGAAAATTTTAAATGATTTTCATACTTGAGAGTATTAATATTTTCATTCCCTAAATATCTGGATCTTTTAAACCCTGCTGAGGGTTGATCAATCTACTCATTCAAGTCCTTAATCTTTTTGGTAAGATCTGTTTCGATTCTCAAATAGAAGTATGATCCTTGTAGAATCTACCGTTGATAAAAGCAGATTGAATACATGATAGGTGAGTGCTGTACCGATTGAAAAATCAAGACAACTAACCAATATCTGTGATGCCCTATGTGTTGAAGAAGAGTTGTTTATATTATAGCCTGTGACAATTTTGACATAGACCAACCCAAATGTAAAATACTAGTATAGCTATTTACTAGAGGGAGAAGTTAATGGATTTTCTTCTGAATCGTGCTTCGTAGAAGAATCCCCACCCATCAATTCCTGGAAGCCCACCACCTTCACAGGTGGTGCTCTAATCATGCTGATGTTGTTCCTATATGCAAATAATGAAACAACAACCTCAATAAATATTAACTTAAAAGCCACTCTTGCAGTAGCATTTATTATTTATTCGAATTCAAATTTACTTACTGTGATTGCATTTGGGGAGTCTGTACGGAGTTCATCTGTCTAAACTGAGTGTTAGATTGGGGATGTAAATTTGACATTGCAGCCAACTGCTGCTGCCTAAACTGCATTTGAGGATGTCTGGAATTGATGAAGGTAGTACCATCACTTGGTAAATCTGATGTGTTTTCAACCTTGACTTGAACCAATGGTTTCTCCTTATTTACATCCATAGCAGGGCGGGAATTAGATTGGAGGTTTCTCATTCTCTCTAACTGCAGCTGCTGTTGTTGCTGAAAAGTCAGACTGTGGGAGTTAATCATCTGCTGCATCTGTGGATGCATCTGTCTCTGCATTTGAACCTGCGCATTAACAAAATATTCAGTAACACTGCATCACAGAAATCATGAATCAATAACCCCTATCTCCATCTGCTACAAAAATGAGAGGGGTGTTTTATTTTACAGAGGGTACCACATTTTTGCGATGCTTAAATCTAATAGTTAAGTACAAATAGGAGGTTTGAACAAATAAATGAAACCATGTCGTATAAATTAGACAGTGGCTAAACAAAAGAAAAAAGTTGCCAAGAATATTGAGATTGGGTGTGTAGTGCAGTCTCATCCAAGGCACACCATGCAAATCATGGCAGGTTGCAGGTACCTTGGGTTACTGTCTCCTCTAATAACTGGACACATTGTATTAAAATAACATGCTGAGCCATAGAAATAATATTTTGATGGATACTATA